ATACTGGGAAAACCCAAGTGGGCTAAAAATTCAAAAGCAGAGTCTTTGACGAAGACATTTGGAGCAAAAAAAAAATACAACTGGATCTACTGACAGGTTTCCCTTTTGATGGGGATTCGGCTGTTCTGTAAACTAAACTATCAAAAAAAAAACCCTTTACACTCTTAAAAAAAAGGAAAAAAAAGGAAGTTGCTGCCAATCAGCTTTGTCAAAGTCCGTGTTAGTACTATTAGATAGTACTATTAGTACTATCGTTCTATCCTTTCACAAGTCCTAAACAAAGTACACACATCAAGCAAGTTTGAAAAAGAGTTGAATTCAACAAGACGAAGGACGGACTTTTATTGGAGTATTTTGATGAACCACCACAACCTTATTCTCATAAACTCTTTTCAAAAACATTTCCAGAATCCAGCTTTCCCTCACCTTCCTAAGACTGCAACCTGAAGTCAGTGACGGTGGTCACCCACTATTGTGATGAAGAAAAGTCTCCCATGAACAGTATCTTTTAGGGATAATCAAAGGCAATTAACTTGTTTTTGTTGCTCAAAATCTGTAAGGGTATAGTAATTGAGAGGTATCATGGGTCACTGTAAAGATCACTGGGTTCAGAGTTAGAGGACCTGAGTTCAAATCCAGATTGTCACTAGCTCTATGTCCTCAGATCTCCATTTCCTTATTTGGATTAAATGATCTAACCAACTCTAAATCTAGGAACCTACAAATTGGACCCAAAGTTCTTTTCCCCATCAGATGATTATTAGTTAAGTGAAGTTTAAGATGAAATTTAGAAACACTAAATTCTAAACATCTGTCATTGCCAAAAAAAAAATTTCTCCTAAGTTTAGGAAGTCATCTCTAGCTTTTACTTTTCCCTTAAATCCCCCAGTTGCTAATAACCTTCCTGTGTGATACAGCAAGGTGTCCTGAAGGAGAGTCAGGGAGCAAGGGATTAATCACCTCTACCACCTCCCCCTCAGATGCACGTGGTGATAGCCCAGGACCTTGGAACAAAAGTCTCAAGAATAGTGTCCCTCTGGCCTTTTCCAGGCTGACCTGCATAGCCACCATTCACGGGGGCAATGCTTGTGGAGAAGGGAGCCAGCTTCCCCACCAAAACCAATTGTTGACCAACTACAATGAGCAGGTAAGCCCAACAGCCCCAGACCACAAGCTGTGTTTACAACCTGCCCCTGTAAGTCATCATCCAGAGGAGCAATCCTTGTGAACGTTTAGAACTCTGCTCTCTTCTCAGCCACCAGTTACTGGAGACATTTCTCCCCACCAAAAAAGACATCTCTCGCCTCCGAAGTCCCCAGTACCATCAAATGGCTCAGCATCAGAAACAAACATGATTTTGTCAAAGGAACTGATACTAGAAAATACATTACCAACTATTTTGCCACCACACCGTAAGAACCACTGGACCTTTCCATCTGACTTGCCCCCAAAACTCCCTGTGTGCTCTTTCTCTCATTGGCATGTGAGCTCTGAGAGACTCCCTTACTTTTTTCAATTTGTATCCCTGCACTGAGCACAGTGCTTTACACATAATAAGGGCTTAATACATTCTTTTTCATTCATATATTTGTTCTTGCCACCTTCACCACTCCCGACCCCAGTTCCCCATTTGTAAAATGAGGAATTGAAGCAGATGACCTTTGAGGTCCCTTCTGGCAATACATGAAAATTGTATATCATCCCCTACCTAGACTGTAAGTTCCAAGAGGGCAAGGACTCTGTGGTTTATTTAAACTTTATATCTCCCCTGCCTTAGCACAGTACTCTGCTAATATTAATGGCTTAAGAAAGCCAACATTTTCTAAGAGGGCAAAGAAAGAGAACCAAATACTTAAAAAGCATGTGTAGTGTAAAAAATGGTTTATTCAGAGCTAAAATAATTCTGATGAGAAGCCATCTACGTCCTTCCTGAAAATCCAGGAAAAATAGGCTAAATTGTGGATTGCTTTCTAGTCACACTTAATTGTAGCATATCCTAGCTTTGAGGAGGCTGTCATGGGATATCAGTAGTTTTACTTGAGAGACATTCTATGCCACAGCATAACCATGTAGTCTATTTGGCTCTTTCTTATCCTCTGAAAGTGAACACACAAGATCTTTGCACTTGGTGTGTTCTCATTTCGGCTGCTTATTACTCATCTGTGCAGAGAATCGTTTTGATATAATCTGGAAAGCAACCAGGTTGGCAAAAAGAGAAGTAAATAGCAGCCAAAAATATGCTCATAGAATAAGGACTGATTACTTCCAAGTGTCATTAGTAACAACTCACTTCTATATAGCATTTAAGTGTTGGGGGTTGTTTTGTTTTGTTTTAAGTACTTTCCTTGAAACAATTATGTCAGGTCAGTATTTTTATTAACCGGTTCTGAGAATCCATTGAAGCAGAGAACCTCTCTAATAATGCACATCTGCACTTTCTCTGCAGTTTGGAGTTTTAGGGTGTTGCTTGCTCACTGAGATGTTAAAGGCACCTGTCCAGGTTCACACAACCAGGGCTTGTCAGAGGCAGCCCTTCAACCTAGGTCTTCCTGACTCCAGGCTAGTTCTCTAAGGCCTAGTGCCTCTCCAATCTAAGGAATGCAAGCATTTGATATCCTCACATTTATATAGCTTAAGAAACACTCATAAGTTAAATGACTTGCCCAGAATCCCACAGCTAGTGAATAGAAGAGCTGGGACTAAAATCAAACCCTAGTTCTCTTTCCTTCACAACAGGCTTGAAACAAAGTAGAATCGTTTTTAAATATATCAAGACTTCACCACCACCACCACCCCACAAGTTCACTAGCACTTTCAAAACACAACATACTTGGTTTATAGTCAGAGATCTTATTTTTGAACAGAGAAGCCAACATATTCAGTTATCATTACAAAGCTGGGACTAAATATTTAAAGGTGCTAGTATACCTTCCAAGTTCTCATGCTAATTGATAAATGGTGATCACAAGGAAAGAGGGAGAAGTTCAATCTCTTGAACAATTAGCCCTGCCTCATGTATACTTGGGCCTAAAAATAGCAACTGTTAACCCCTTTCAAATATAAAAATGCACTTAAGTGAAAGTGGCCCCAGCTTAATAGATTAACTTTCTTACAATTAGGAATGTTTATAAAATTTTCACCAGATGTTAAGCATCTAAATAATCTTTTGAAAGTGTAATAGTTTGAGGTGTGATTTCTCAAGCCTTGGTCAATTTTAGAAAAAGTCATCTTAAAAAGAACATTTACTCCTATAAAAACATTGAGCTAGTGACAAAACAGGTTAACATTTTTAAACTCTTATGCTAAAGATACATAATGCATAAACACTTTCTAGTGTCTAGCTTGTTCAATATCCTGGGAAAAGTCAGAGGTTCCGAGTTCAAATTGTCATGTGAAGCTTGCTTACTACCTGTACTGTCCTTGGACCAGTCACCCTCCCTGGGCCTGAGTTTCTCTAGACCCTTCTAGGTCTAGAACCATAATCCCATGATCATCATCAGTCTACTACCTTGAGTTTTTCTTAAATTTTCTCAATTTTCCCTGCTACCTTTTGTAACCAGTTCAGAATCCTGTGATCTACTCATTTCAATTCATAAAATTATAATTTACTATAGATTTCTATAGCATAGTATACCATTTTAAAGCATCAGACAAGTATTTTGCAATCACGCTTTCATTATCAAACTACTCCTTTCTCCACTTACACAGCCACCCTAATGCAGGCCCTCATCCCCTTTCACCTGCATTATTTTTATAGCCTCCTAATTGGTCTCCTTGTATCCAGTTTCTCCCTCCTCCAATACCTCCTGCACACAGCTGCCAGACTGATATTCCCCAAGCAGAAGTTTGATCATGTCAGTCATTCCCCTGCCCAAGAAGGTCCAATGCTCCCTCTTGCCTCTGGAATCAAATGCAAACCCTTCTGTTGGACTCTTAAAAGCTCTTCACAATCTGACTCCATCCTAGTTTAGTGCACATTAATCCCCAGACTAGGGTCCAACCACACAGGCTTGCTTGCTGTTCCACTACAACTCTACTTTCTCTACCCTTTGGCAAACTACCCTGTATATAACTTTTAGGGGTAGATATATTTTTTCCTCAATTAGAATGTAAACTTTGAGGGGGTTGCATTTATATTTCCAATACCTAGCACCTATATTCTTCAGAGCTAGATTTTACTATTCTAGACAAAAGCTCACTTGCATGAAGCCATTAATTTCAGTTTTAGTAGGGAGACAATTGGTTTTGGTTGTCACCACTTTGTATTAGCCATGATCCAACTACTGATGTCACCAATTAGCAATTAAAGTCAGAAAGTCGGTGTACTAGTAGTACATAAGTCCTACAATTTGCCAACTGGCTTCAATGGCCACCTCTTCTGATCTATGCTATCTCTTGCTATTGTTTTTGACAACTTTACAAGATAAAACAGCAGAGAAAAACTAATTCGAAAAAAATTTTTCCCACCTTAAGACAGGTGGGTTATGAGTGATCTTCTTCACATTCCCAAGAGAGAAAAGATTTCAACTGCCTCACGAACTGAAAAGTTTCCAACACTGGCATGGCTAAACAATTTTTTTTTAAGTGGCAACAAATTGTCAACTAATTCTCAGGAGCTACATTATAATTGGCTGTGTAGTTTTTCCATGAATCTATTTATTCTACTTCAAAGTACTGGTAAAGACATTTTAGTGGAAGGGATAAAAAGATGTTAATGGGAAATCCTACAGCCAGAGGATTGATATACCCCCTTCAGACAGGGTTATAGAAAACTTCAAAGAATTAAAGAAAATTAGTCCAACCTACACTTATGTTTCTCATCTATTTAATAGCAGCCCCAGTTTAGGCTATTTCTGTATTGAGTCAAATGAGAATGGACAGTAAATAATGGTCTGTGGAAGGTTGATTATTAATAACACGTGCTTTTTCTTGCTCACCCAGGTTGGACCCATTTCTCCTCCCAGTCCCAAATAGGTTATTACAGAAAAGGACACAGTGAAGTTGCTTCAAAATATTTAATACGTGTTAGACACGTAAAGTTACACTTTATACAAAAAAAGTCAATACACAAAGAAAATACTGTACAAAAATTCTACAAGTACCCCAGCCTTTATACAACAAAGACGGGAGTAATCAAATCTACTAAGCCATAAGGCCTTTCCATTAGGGCATCTGTAAACTTTTTCATTAAACACTTTTTAAAAGCACTGTGTAATAATTCTGACCTAGAGCTTTTAAATATATATATATATATACATATATATATTATATATATATATATACACACACATATTTCCTTATAACTCGGTATTTCTAAGCTTGATCTCTTCTAAGAAGCTTATAAGCTCTCTTATGCGGGGTGGGAGGGTGTTGAGGGAGAAGGCTGGGACCCTTGAGTTTGTCAATAAGAAATTTTCCCTCCCACCCCCAAGAATCAGCTCCAGGGCAAGAAGAGACCGCAGCGGAGCGGGCTCCAGCCCGAGGCCCTCTCCTCTCCTCGCGGGGAAGTCGAAGAGAAAGGTGCTGGGCTGGATAGGAGGAGTGTGTAGAAAGTCCCTTCCTCCCCCGGGAAGGAGGGGGCTCCCCCGGCCCCCCGGCCAGGCTGCTTCCTTCTCGACGCCGGCGGAGGAAAGTCCCGGCTCCACGCCCTCCCCCGCCCTCCCCAGTGTCTCGAGCCCCAGACAAGAAACCCTGTGACAAAAAAAGCCTTACTTCAACAATAAACTTACAAAAAACAGCTTTATAACACAAGCCCCCCGCGAGCCGGAGGGGCCCGGCGGGGGTGGGGGGGGCCAGAGTCCCGCTCAAGGCTCGCCCCCGGGCAGGTCCCGCTGCCCAGCCGGCTCCAGAGGGGGTCGCGTCGGGCCGGGGGCGGGGTCGGCTCGGGGCGGGGGCAGGGCAGCGCCGCGTCAGTCTCCTCCTCCGCGCCCCCTCCCCCGCCCGGGCCCCGGGCGATCAGAAGGCCACAATGGCAGTGCTCCAGGGGTTGAGGTTTCTTAACACCGGCTTATCGCAGTACATGGGCCCGGGCTCCGCCGCTTCCGGACCGCGCTGCGGCTCCTCCTCCTCTTCGCCGTCCTCGTCCTCCCGGCCGCCCCCGGGGCTTTTGCGCAAGAGTCCGGAGAAGCTGGAACCGAAGATCGTGATGAGGTTGGCCACGTTACCGGTCTCCATCTCCTCCTGGTCGCCCGGCTGCTCCTCCGAGTCCCTGCGGGGCTTCTTCACTGGGGAGCCGCCCGAAGCCAGGCACCCCGCGGGGCCGCCCCCTGCCCCCGAGGCGCTCCTTTTCCGGGGGCAGACGGGCGGCGGCGGCAACCCGTCGTCCGGGCGCGGGCGGCAGCCGCAGTCGGCCCGCGGGGCGCCGTGAGGAGAGCAGCCGAGGCGGCGACAACAGAAGTGCCGCGCCCGCGGCGGCCCCTCCACCGGGGCGCCTTCCCCCCCGCCGCCGCCCCTCTCCGCCGCCTCCACGCGGCGCCTCGGGGCTTCGGGCACCGCCTCGGCTGTCACAAGCGGCGACCCCTCGAGCGGGAGCTTCCCGAGCCCCAGGGGCAGGGCGGTCGGCTCCGGGGCGGCGCCGGCGGGCTCCGGGTCCTGCTCCATGCTGCTGTCCCTCGGGAGCGGATCTCCCCAGCCCGGGGCCGGCTCCCCGGGAAGCTGGTGCTGCTGCTGCTGCGCCGGCGGAGGCTGTGGGGGTCCCCCCGCCCCAGGGCCGCCCAGGCAGGGGTCGCTCAGGTAGACCTGGCGGGCGCTACGTAGCACCAAGGACACCAGCAGGTTCTTGTGGAGTTTAATGCCGCCGCGTTGAACCCTCGAGTTGTAGATCTTGCCCAAGGAGATGCTGACGATCCGGTGAGCCTCCAGCTTGAACTCCATCCTCCCTCGCTCAGGCGCCTCCGCAGCTCTAAGGCGTCTGACTCACGGGGGGCTACTCTCTCGTCCCGTCAACGGTAAGGGTGTGGGGCCGGAGGCGGAGACGCGTCAGCTCCTCCCTCAGCCCAAACTGACTGAACAAACAACCAGGACAACGGCGACGCGAGCTCTGAACCCCTTCCTCACGACCGCGACAGACAATACAGCAGCTTAGCAACCAGTCCCGCCGCTAACTGAGAGGAGACGGGCGACCCGGCGGCTTTATATAGCCCTCTTGCGCCAGCCAATCAGACGGGACTAGCGACCGTTCCGACCGGTTCGGGGAGAGCTCGCGCTCCCTCGTGCGCTTCTCTGAGCCAATCAGAGGCCGAGGACGGGAGACAGGGCAGATTCGAACGTTAGTCCCGCGGAGCCCTCTCTTAAAGGGGGAAACAGCGTGGAAGAGGAAGCGGCTCTCGAGGGGGGAGGGGAACGAGAAGGCAAAGTCCCCAAGGTGTCACCTCTCTAGGAGCTCGGGCGTTCTCGGAGGAGGCGGGGGAAAGCCAGCGCCAGCCCAGTCCTTTGTTCGGCTGTGTGGTTGGGAGTGTGCTCAGGTCTGTACTGGACACGGCTGGATTCCCAGAGCCAAAGCTGGCGCTCCTAACGGTAGTTCCCCTGCCGCCGCCACCCCGACTCCCCACCCCCGCAAAAAAACCCCGGCAATGTGTAAGTGACCTTCAAAGAGACATCCTGGGGGACGGCCACCTGGGCCAGTAAAAAGAGCGGTGGAGGCTGAGAAGCCTGAATTCGAATCCTGGCTCTTTGTCCGTCACTCAAACCTCCCCGGACCTCAGTTTCCTCGTCTGTAAAGGAGGGCGCAGGCTCCAAGGCCTCCGCGGTCCTGTCCAGCTCCAGAGGAAGGCCCAGGATTGGCTTCCTGACTGCGCCCCCCCCCCCCCCCCCCCCCCCCCCCCCCGGACCCCCCCCCCTTCCCTCTCACCCCCCCCCCCCCCCCCCCGTCCCCGCCTCCTCGGGCAGTAATTCCATTTTAAGAGACTTCGCTAAGTAAGTTTTTGCGGCTGGTCTGAGGCGTGGGAACACCACCGGACAGTATTATTACTTGGCCCCGTACTTGGCAGACTCAAGCTCTTCTCTAGTTACAGACACCTGGTCCCTAACTTGGGTCAATCCCGACAAACTGCTGCGTGGCCCCGAATAAATCGGGGGAACATCAGTTCTCTGGTTTTCTCCAGCAAAGATCTCATCAGCTTGCTGTTTTCTGCCAGGGCTGTTAGTTCTTGGTCTGTAGCACGTGTTATCAGACAGCAGTCCAGCAAAAAGCAGAGCAAAACTTCAGATTGGGGGGGGGGGGTCACTAATAGTACTGAGAAATCTTGTTTTCATAGTGTGGGTCATTACAGTTTGATGTGTCAGAAGACCAAAATACTTTGGGGTCATATGCCAGTCCTAGAATTTTCTGAACAGTAAATCTCTTCCGGATTCTACACCTAAATGACATCATTGCTATATGTATTAGAGAACTGTCCTCACTCAGGAGAGCGAAGTTCTAGTTTGACTTGGATGTGACTGTAGGCAAATTACTTCACTGCAACTTAATTTTACTTTTTTTTTAAAGGAGCTATTTGTGTTAAGTAAGTTCATGAATGTAAGTGTTTTGAGCTGTTTGAAAGACAAATACAATGTCATTTCAAGATACAGATATGCCTTTATTTAAGAAAAGACAAAACACAACAAATCCAAACTTAGAAAACATTTAAATTAAGGAGCAATACTTTCATTCCAAAAGCATATCCCACAGTCTGTCTTCAAATAGCAACTCCTCAAAGTGCATTCCAAATATAATTTTAAGATTTTCTTTACACGAAACATTTGGGGAACACACATAGAGCTCGTAAGATTTAGCACTTGAAGGGTCACAGGTAATAATAGAGCTGAAATTCAAACCTAGTTCCTCTGCCTCCACATCTCCATTACATATTTAATAAAACAAGATACATCTTTGATTGATTCTTCTTTGTGGTTATAGTAAAGAAGTGAAATGGAGGGATTATATTAGATTACCTCCAAGGTAATCTCTACTAGTTCTAAAGCAGGGGCCCTATTAACAAGACACAATGATAAATACCCTACACACTGAGGTAGTGTTGAATGTCCAGAATTGAATTGAGGTAGTTCTTACATTTCAATAGTCAGCAAACATTTAAATTACTTTTGTGTGCCTAGCATTGAGCTAAATCCTAGGAATGCAAACTTTGAAAAAGAAAGACAATCTGCCCTCAAGGAGTTTACCTCTAGTGGAGGTAGGCAACACACCAAAGAAAGCTGGAAGGAGGAGGGGCTGGAAGGAAATTGGAGAAGTGAAAGAAATCCAAAATGACTGCTGCTGGGTGGGAAACGAATAGATGTCTGAGATTCAAACAAAACGGTGCCTGGAAGAATGTTAAATTTGATGTCCCAGGTACTGGATTTGAATCCTGACTCATTAGCGGTGAGACTTGTGGCTGATCATTTATTTCTTTGTATCTGTTTCCTCATCTCTAAAGTTAAGGAGGGCTTGGGGAGAAGACTTGGACAAGATAATTATAAAGGTCAGTTTCAGTTCTAAGTATGTGGTTTGAGAATCTCTGAAGAAAAATTAATACTATTTTAAAATAATTATTTCTTCCCTTGTGAGGAAAACTAACCACATAGACCCAATATTTTTTTTAATGATAAACAAGAAAGCAAGGGTTGTGGGAAAGAAATAGCTTTAAAGAGGAAATAAACTCAGCTTTTTTATCTCTTTTGTCCTCTCCCTCGACCACCCACCTTTTCTGAATCACTTTTTCCATTGCTACCCACATCTTTCCAAATTTTTAACCTTTTTCCCCTGCTGACTGCTCTGCTACTGAAGGATTCCTTCCCTTCAAATAGCATATATAAAGCAGATCGAGCTCAAGGTTTCTAGGAGGACCCAAAACTCCTTCCTTTCTTAAACTACTCACTTTCTTCAGTCTCCACTTCCCTTTTTAAACTATCTATAAACAGTTATGTCTAACCTGTTTCCTACTTTGAGTTACTTTGTAAAGGTGCCATAGATTGCTTCTTTCGATTACATATCTGCCCTTCCTTCATCATCTTGGAAGAAGAATGTGTCCCACAATAAAGGAGCAATTTTCTAAATAGTTAAAAATGAGTATTGAATGGTATTCCTGAAACGAGTAAGTCCAAGCAACAGAATGAGAAGCATGATACTAGATAAATATATAGAAAAAAATAAAATATGTAACCCATGATGGCTGAACAAATTCAACACATGAATGCAATGAAATATTATTGCTCCATAAGGAATGACAAATATGAAAGTTTCAGAAAACATGGGAAGAGAGGCAGCATTGCATAATGCGTATTGGGCTGGATTTAAATCCTGCCTCAGCCACCTTAGCTATCTGACCCATGTTGGACTCTACATGATCTTATGGACAAAGATCGTGGGGTTTTCTTGGCAAAGGTATTAGTTTACCATTTCCTTCTCCAGTGTATCTCCATTTTATAGATGAACTGAGGCAAATAGGACTTAACATGCCCAGGATCACACAGCAAGTAAGTGTTTGAGGCTGGATTTGAAGTCATGTCTTCCTGGCTCCAAGTCGTTGTGCTCTAACCACCCAGTTTCTCCATGTCATTTAACTTCTCTTTAAATCAGGGTGACGATAATGTCTATCTCACAGGGTGTTTGTGAGACTAAACTGACATAATGGAGGTGGTCTGAGTGTAGAGATAATCTCTTTGTCCAAGAGTGACATGATGTCTCTCGTGAAGCCCCTCAATGGAGTGAACCCACTTCTCATTGTAATATTCATTCTCTTATTAATTGTTAACCAATCAGAGTTGATTGCTATCCTCAGGAACACCCACTCTTCCAAGGGCATATAAATTGTGAGCCTGAAACCAGCCATGTCTTTGGCATTCGAGAGTGCCACTGACCTCTTTTATTAATAAAATGCTAGCATTATTAATAAAATTATCAATTACTCAGAAATTATGTCACCGGAACTTTATTTAAACCATACAACAGCCTTATAAAGAGATTATAGGATAGAAATTGCTTCCAAAGCCTTTTTGTAAACCTTCTTGTTAAAAAAAAAGAAATAGTAATTGCTTGCCTGTTCTTTTCCAATTAAACATTTATTGAGTGACAATGATGTGCTAAGTGTTTCACTGAATATTAGCACCTCATTAAGAGGCAACCTATAAATCTTTATATCACTACCAAATTCTTCCCTTCCCCAATTCTAACTAATGTACCTATTATAAACAAGTTTAATTCACTAGACAAGTTGTTTTTTGTTCAGCACAGCCTATCTAAATAAGCAATATAAACTAAGTGGATATGAAATTCTAGAATCTATCCTTATTACTTCAATCCATATACACAAAAGCAATAACATCTTGCACTTGATATTTTGCTTAAGCAGTCTAACTTCTTCAATTGCAAATGGTATCTCTGGCTATAAACATATACTCTAAATAAATACTACTATCCGTTCTTAGGACTATTGTCAGGATTCTAGCGTTTATAGGACAATTTGAAGTCTTATGAAATGAAGTGACTAAGAAATAAAAAGTAAATTATTTTGATTGCACCTACCTCCCAGGATAAAATAATATTTGTAAATCATTTTACAACCCTTAAAGTGTTATATAAATGCTAGTGATTATTATTATTGTGATTGTTATTTTAATTTCATCAATCATTATTGCCTCATGAAGAGTTTCAGACTTTGTCAGACCTTGGCTCGACCATTTATTGGACTTTTATCATTAGACAAGAGATTTTAAGTTCTCTTAACCTCGATTTCCTCTTTTGTCAAACAGCAATAACATACCTCGCCCTGCCATATAGAATTGTTGTGAGGATCTGTTGAGATTATAAGGCTCAAAACAAAGGACTCCAAACATAATTGAAACTTTAATGACCTGTGACTCAGCTGGCAATCCTTTCCAAACTTAATTCAGAGACTGTTTTGTAACAGCTTCCTCTTTTCCTCATCTTTTATCACTCAAACATCTTCCCCCACTATCTTCTCCTTCATCTCTGTCTCTCATGAAGAAATAGCCCTTCTCCTTCCAAGGTAAACCCCTCTACATCCATCCTTGATCCCATCCCTTCCCATTTGTTAGTAAATTTTCTCTTCTAGTATCAGTCTCTGATCTTCAATCTCTCCTATCTCTTGCCTCCTTCCCTTGTGCCTGCAAACACACTCGTGTCTCCCCCCTCTCAGAGAACCTTCATTTGATCTGCTCATCCCTGCTAGCTGTATCTCTCCTCGATTTCTTGGCTAAACTCCTTGAGAAAATTGTCTATAATCAATGTCAATACTTCCTCTCCTCTCAGTCAGTTGTAAACCCTCAGTAATATGTTTTCCAACTAAATCATTCAGCTGACACTACTCTCTCCAAAGTCATCAATGATCTTTTTAATCAACAAATTTAATGGCCATTTCTCAGTTCTCATCCTTCTTAACCTTTCTGCAGCCTATGATACTGTTGATCACCCTCTTCTGTATACTATCTCTTCTTTAGGTTTTTGTGACACTGCTCTTTCCCGGTTCTCCTCCTAGCTGTGTGACTAGTCCTTCACAGTCTCTGAATCCTCATCCAGATATGGCCGAAAGGAGGCCCCCAAGGCTATGTCCTGGGCTATCTTCTCTATGATGATCTCATCAGTTCCCAATGGATTCAATTTTCAACACTATACAGATGATTCTAAGATCTGTACTCTCTAGTCCTCTAGTCTCATAACAGCAGCTGATGCTTGGACATGTCAAACTGGATGGGCCACAGGCATCTCAAACTCAACTTGTTTAAAACAGAACTGATTATCTTCCCCTTTCCCCCAATTCCCTCCTTCTTCTCAATTTTCCC